AAAAGGCATGATCGACCTGATTGCAGCTGTGCAGAAGCAGCAGCAGCAGACAGGGAATCACCCCATCACTGTGCACTGCAGGTGAGTCACTCTTGGCTGTGTTCCCTTGGGGGTTGTGCTTTGCACCTGAGGCTGGGATGGGCAAAGCAAAGCTGTGGAGTTACTGTGGTGGTGTGTGATATCTCTTTAGGGCTCAAATGTTCTGGCAGGGTAAAATCCTGCTGGATTTTGACAAACTCTCAGGAGAATAAAATACATTCTTAATCTAAAATGTGCTCCTGTCCTTGAGAGCAGAGGAAACAGTATTGACATTTATGCTGAGAGCTCAGGGGCGATTTGGGACGTGGTAACTGGTATATGTTTGTCCTGTGTCAGGTTTTCTTCACCTTTTGGGTTTGTTTTTTTTTAACTGCACATTTTTATTGCTATTTTTATTATCTATTCCTTTATTTGCTTTCTTTTTTTTTAAAAAGATATACCTTGTGCTTTTCCTCCCTTTTTCAAATGGTGATTTTCACAGTGGGTTTTGATCAGTCTTTGCATTTGTCTTTTTCTACATTACATCTGCTGATCTAATTAAAATAGCAGGAAAACTACTATTCTGCCTTTTCCTCACTCAGAAATCATCCCTTGCTTTTAAAATAGTTTCAATTGTATAAATCAATAATGCTCTTTCTGTTCCTGGTCAAGCTCACAGGGTCAGGAGGGTTTCAGAGCCCTAAAACCACCACAGCAAATCTTGTTCTGTCTCTGATCACCCTGAAAATGCTTATTTATTTCAGTCTAAATCCTGAGCTTTGAAATCTTTCCCTCTTGGGCATGTTGGGCAGGATAAACTGGTTTTACTGGGGCACTGGTCACCTTCCAGCAATCCATGGAGGTCAATGTATCTCAGTAATTTTCTATCTAAACCCACCTGTATATGAACTGTGGTATTTTCCTACCTGTGTGTGATCTCAGTGCTGAGAAAGACTCAGCAGCTCACCCTGCCTTTGGTTTTGCTCTGATTTGAGTCTCCAAGGTGCTGTCTCAGTCCCTGGTTAGTGTTTGGCTCTGTGCAGTCAACAACACAGCAAAGAAGTCATGGGAGTTTGACCCAGGACTTGGATTTGTTGGATTTTTTTGGGATGTAACCTTGTACCAATTCATATTCACGGCTAAGCATTTCTCCTCCTGCTTTGGAAGGAGTTTTTGCAGTTTTCCCTAGGGTTCTATTTGTACCCCACTCCACGGTGATTGTATGCAACGAGTAGTGCTGTGTCCCCAGGAGGCAACAAGTATTTTCTTCTGCATTTCCAGTGCAGCCAGAGTGAAAATTCTGACATTAATTAAAATACCCCAATTTGTATGGGCTTTAAGGATTTGCTAAGAGCATATTTTCAGGGGAGAGGAGAGTGAGCTGAGCAGAAGGATATGCATATCTTATACACAGGCACATAGGGATGGCACAGGGGGAATGGGTTTAAACTGAAAGAGGAGAGATTTAAATGAGATAATGGAAGGAATTGTTCCCTGTGAGGTGCTGAGGCTCTGGCACAGGTTGGGCAGAGAAACTGTGGCTGCTCCATCCCTGGGAGTGTTCCAGGCCAGGTTGGATGGGCAAGTGGAATGTGTCCCTGCCCATGGCAGGGGTTGGAATGAGATGAGCTTTAAGGTCTTTCCAACCCAATCCGTTCTGTGATGCTCAGTCATTAAAATCAGTTGGATTGGACATTTTCCATCAAAGTGCTTTGGAGTGATGCTAATAATAACAACACTATCAATGCTTTTCAATCTGTCCCCCATGCAGAAGCAGAAATCACAGCCTCACAGTACCCTTTGACTGTTCTATGTCCCTATTTTTTCTCCACTGCCACTTTTCTCCCTGTGTCTCTCACACAAACCTGTTCTCATTGCAGTGCTGGTGCAGGGAGGACAGGGACCTTCATAGCACTCAGCAACATCCTGGAACGAGTGAAGGCTGAAGGGCTCTTGGATGTGTTTCAAGCTGTGAAGAGCTTAAGACTGCAAAGGCCACACATGGTGCAAACACAGGTATGATGTGTAACAACCCTGGGGTTTGTGGAGCAGCTCTGTTTGTCAATACCCTTGTGGGAGGAGAACAAAGGGGTTTTTTTCTTTGCAGCCTGACATAAATTATGTATGATAGCTCTGTGTGTACAAGGTGTTAGCAGAAATCAGAGTTTTTACAGGTTTTTTGGAGTATTTCTAAACATGCAACTTGGCTAAACGTTCTTTTAGGAGCTTGAGGTAGTTAAAGAAAAGTCTTTTGAGTGTCACAAGTGACAAAATATAGGAAGTAAATGTTTTTTAAGCTATTTGTCAGTTGTTCTTTTGTACCTAAAAATGTCTGGGCATAAATTGGTCACTGAGAGACAGAAATAATCAAGTCACAGGGTGTCTGGGTTTGGAGGGACCTGAAAGATCATCCAGTTCCACCCCCTGCCATGGGCAGGGACACCTTCCACTAGCCCAGGGTGCTCCGAGCCCTATCTGACCTGGCCTGGAACACTCCCAGGGATTGAGGAAATGTCTTTAACACATTTAAAGTCTTCCTCAAAATCATGTACAAGTAAATATGCTAAGCTAAGTCCAGACACTTTTCCCTGTTGAACAAACTTTGAAGACACATATGAAACATAGAATAAATATCTGAAAATATTTTTATACTTATTTTTTTGGAAAATACCCCAAAATGCTGATTTTTTTTTTTTTGTGTGTGTGTTCTGGTAGCAGTTCTATTCAGCAGTTTGAAATCTCTGTAGAAACTGTGATCTCAAACCACCTTTTGCAGGTAGATCCTACAGATAGGAAGGAAGGGATTGAAGAGGTGGAATTGGATTATCCACTGCCAGGCTGAGACAGGGATGGAATAGTTCTTTTGGGGTCTGGCTCCGTGATTTAGTGTCAGTTAAGGGTGTAATTGCCACAGATGTTCCCAGCTGAGTCTGTGGAAAAGCTTCTGCCTAGCTTTCCAGCAGGAGTGAATTCAGATGCCACTTCTGTTTGGTGTGTGTTGGTACAGATTTTGTAATTCAGCATACCATGCTGAAGGCATATCAGCATGTCTGGAAGATCAGTATGTGTCGCTCTTCAGGATGGAGAGGAGCAGCTCTCCAGCTAACAGCCAGGCTGGGGGTGTCCAGCCTGCAGAAGGGAAGGCTCCAGGGAGACTTTAGAGTCCCTTCCAGTGCCTAAAGGGGCTCCAAGAGAGCTGCAGAGGGACTTGGATAAGGGTCTGGAGGGACAGGACAAGGAGGAATAACTTCTGGAAGATCAGTATGTGTCGCTCTTCAGGATGGAGAGGAGCAGCTCTCCAGCTAACAGCCAGGCTGGGGGTGTCCAGCCTGCAGAAGGGAAGGCTCCAGGGAGACTTTAGAGTCCCTTCCAGTGCCTAAAGGGGCTCCAAGAGAGCTGCAGAGGGACTTGGATAAGGGTCTGGAGGGACAGGACAAGGAGGAATAACTTCAAATTGCCAGAGGGCAGGATGGGATATTATATTGGGAAGGAATTCTTGGCTGTGAGGTGCTGAGGCACTGGCATAGGTTGCCCAGAGCAGCTGTGGCTGCTCCATCCCTGGGAGTGTTCCACTGGACGTTTCTTGGAGCACCCTGGGCTGGTGGGAGGTGTCCCTGCCCATGGCAGGGGTGGGATGAGATGATCTTTAAGGTCCTTCCAACCCCTTCTAGGATTGATTCTGTGACTCTCCCTGGGGAATGCTCAGGAGGAGTTACCTGCAGTGGGATGAGCCAGGGACCGTAACGTGCTGGATTTAGACGAGAAGGGCTGAGAGTTGATTCAGTGTAAGAAGCATCACCTAGAAAGCTTAAAGGAATCATTTTAACTGGAGAGCAACAATCAGCTTCTATGTGACGAAAGAAGGAGGTACTATTGCATTTATTGGTCAGGCACTGGGATATTGCCCAGGGAGGTGGTGGAGTCACCATCCCTGGAGGTGTTTAAGAGGTGTCTGGATCTGGTGCTGGAGGATCTGGTTTAGGGGTTACAGCAGTGACAGGTTAATGGTTGGGCTCGATGATTTTAGGTCTCCTCCAAATTTGATGGTTCTCTGATTCTGTTTAAAACCATAAATACATAAATAGAAACCAAGACAGAGCAATCCTCAGCTCCTGCTCCCAGTAATGCTCCCAGTCAGAACATGTTGCATTTCTCCCTAGGATCTGCAGAAATCTGATTTTCTCAGTGCACCCAAAGCACATTTTGATCCCATTTTCTTGTCTTGCAGGAGCAGTATGAATTCTGCTACAGAGTGGTACAAGATTTCATCGACATATTTTCTGATTATGCTAATTTCAAATGAGAATTCTGCCTTATTTTTTAATTTGTCTGTATAAAGAGTTGTATATTCTGTTAATTTATTCCATGGCACTTGGCTGGTTGACTTTTCTGTAAATAGGACCTTGTGTTTGCTCTTCAAAGTTGCATTTGCTGTATAAAGTTGTTTCTTAAATATAAATATCTTCCAAAGAGAAGTATAATGTTCCTATACAGTTTATCACTAGAAGATGGGAGAGAAATCTTTATTCTAGATAACAGGAAATTAACTCTTGACGGTTTATTGCTTTGAGTTTTGCCACTTGGAAATGTTTATCAACAGTGTTATCTCCCAATTCTTTACATTTTCCACAGGTGATTTACAGTTCGTGCTAAAAAGGGAATTGTGGTACTTACGTTTAAGCATGTTTTGACCAGAAAACTCTGTTCACCATGGAAAAAGGCATTTTTAAAAGCAGTTTTTAGGAGCCTCCAGGTTGATGCCAGTTGGAGTTTGAGTCTTACTGGCCGTGAGATAGAATCAGTATAGAAACAGCTTTGAATTGTTGATTTAATACACCTTTCAAAGCCTGATTAAGTTGTTCTTCCCTAAATATTCCACCAGCTTAAATAGATTTAGAAAGGCAATAGTGTGAGTTTACTGCTGTTTTGAGGCTTCTTGGCATACCAGAAGAGGATATTGTACAGCCCCTCAACTTGTCTATGTGAAGACATCAGAAATGGAGTTAAAGTTCCTCTTCTTTATACACATGTGAATAATTTCCCACTTCTTTAAGCAACGGTGAAAGAGAGAAACTCTCATTCCTTGATTTGACTCAACAGAATAATGAACAGGATTTGCTAAAAAAATTAACAGTTTAATACCCAAAACATGAACTGTTTTAGCAAAAAGCTCCTCTAAGTTTTCCCCCTCCCAGATAAATATTATCAGACAGGACTATTTCCTTTCTCTGCCAGAGGTATATGATTGTGTATAGAGATATATTTTTAATGCAGCTACTACTGAGAATAGAATTGGTGAAATCCAATTGAAAAGTCTTTATTATAGCCCTGCCCAGGATATGCTCAGGGGTTAGAGAACCCCAGAAAATCACAGAACATGTGAATGATGAATAATGAAATTCTTTCCAGTGCATCCCTTACTTAATAAGCACAAAGGAGGCAAATCTGGACTTGAATTCCATAACTAATATGCAATATAGTTCTGTCTCATCCAGTTGGGCTTTTGGGATGCAAAATAAAAGCCTGAGTTAAACCAAGCAACTCACACTGAGCATTTCACTGCTGCTCTTGCACTATTTTATCCCATTTTCCATTTTCATTCCTAGTAAAAAAAATGTGTGATACATTGTAGAAATGCAAAAGAAAGAGAAGGTGTCCAAACCTCCTCTCCTTCCATTTCATCCTGGCTGGAAAAGGTGCAGGTTAGGAGTCCCTACCTACTCTATTCCCACACTTGACTGCTTCTTGTCTTCCCATCGATGCACTTCTGTATTTATTTGTACAGTAAATTATGCACTTACAAAACAAAGATTGTTTAAAGACTAAACTTTTGTCGTGAGTCTCTATGAGAAGATACACCCAAGCCACAGTGCTGAGGCACGAAAATGAGTGCTGAGTAAGTTCACATTGCTGCTGCATGCTGAAATTTCATCCAAACCTTAAAAAAAAAGTCCATCAGATACATTCAGTTTGGAAGCTGAAAATGGTGGGGGCTGCAGGATGGGCATCTGGAGCAAAGGGAGAGTCAGAGAGGGTCAATGAGGGCACAGAGTAAGGCAAAGAAATCTCCATTTGTGATCCTGATGTCAGGATCTGTCTGGACATTTAGCCTCGATTTGAATGCTAATTTAAATAGTAATTTGAAGAACAAGCCTATATTTGAATAGCAATTGGTCTGTTGGACAGGTTTTTGGGTTCTCTAAGTAACACCTTGTATTTCCCTGCCTCGTGAAGCAAAGCTCAGTGCCACAACCATGAGGTGTGGTGGTGTTGGGGTCCCATAGCCTCCACAGCACTGGGAGCTGCAGCACAACTCCAGCTGCCCACAGGGTTTGCTACATGGCACAGCTCTCTGTAGTTACTACCAGGAGTAGGATGGAGTTAAGTTGAAACATCAGGAGTTGGACTAGATGATCCTCCAGAGTCCCTTCCAACTCTGTGTTTTGTGATCAGCTACTCAGTGGGTACTGATTTTAGTTGCTATATCAAAGAGGAGAGAGAAATCCTTACAATATATTCCAGAAGTCCCAACCAGAGCTCCAGAATGCCTTTTTTTTTATCATTTGAAGAGCTTTCTGCCCAGTTTTTGTGTCTACTCCATGACTGCTCACTGCAGCGACCTAATCTCTAGGGAGCTGTGTCTTGGTGGATCTGAATTTCCCTTTGCATTTCCTTCTGTTGCATAGAATTACTTTCAAAAGGCCAAATAGTTGGATTAGAAGTTGTCTGTTCTGATCTGCCTGTGGTTTTGGTCACTATGTGACTTTGACTGTTGCTGTGTTCAGATAGGTTCCAGTTCACCTCAGCATTTAAGCATTGGCTTGACAACATCTTTATCCCCCAAAACTGTGTGGGTTGTGTGTTCCTGAGGCAAGTCCTTAAGTGCTTGGCTGAATTGGGCCTTAATGAAGAATGCATACTGTAATTAGCAGTGTTTTTTAGGCTATTTTTATGTCTTTTTTAAACTCTGAATACGAGCCTGACCACCCTGTTGAGTATTCTGAAACGCTTTCACGTCCCATTTCTAATGTAAAACTTTTCTGTATAACCAGATTGTATTTAATTTGTCAAATCTTTATAATATATGTCTGTATTACACAGTTTCAGCTCTTCTTATTTCCTCTGCTGACGTTTCTAAGCCGATCTCGCTGTGTTTTTCACGCCGGGGAATGTTGCTGAATTCTTTGTACATGCAAATCGCAGGATCTAATACATTCTGATGCCAGAACAAAAGCTTTGGTTTGATTCTCCAACTGCTTCACCTCCTTTAAATCTTTGCATTTCATTCCTGGGCTGTGTGTTCATTTGAATTAGGGGTTCTAAAGGAGGGGAAATCCATTAAGTGGATAAATTTTATCAGTGTTTACCTGCAGATGTTGGGAGTAATATTCTGATTCATGTTGGGACTGAGCATTGTGCATGAAAAGTGTGTGGCAACTCATGGAAGCTCTTGGACTTCAGGTCTTTCCCAAAGTGTATGGATAAGATCTGACAATGCAGAGCTTTGACATGGCTTTTTCAGCATAGTGAGTTAATACTGCGGTCAACTATGGTGTCACACCATGATACAAACAGTAGCTAAACCTTCAGCTGGGTCACCCATCATGAATTAAAAGTTCACTCTAATTAACAGCAATTTCTTAAGTAATTTCTTTGAGTATATATTGATTCCTGTGCTAAAATTAGCCCCCAGGGTTGCTACACTGCTTTGTGTAAACCAGGTGTAACTGTGCTGAGAGATTCCTCATGTCAAGTGTTGTTTGTCAAGTAGGATTTGCTGAAGGAAGATTTTGACCCCTTTAAGCCCTGACACCTCACACCTGGGAAATGTATTTTCATTCATTTCATGTCAATGTCCCTCCTGAGCTGAGGGGCCCAGAACTGAGCACAGTACTCAAGGTGTGGCCTCACCAGTGCTGAGTCCAGAAAGAGTGACAGGGGCAAAATCACCTCCTGGTCCTGCTGACCACACTGTTCCTGACCCAGCCCAGGATGCCATTGGCCTTCTTGGCCCCCTGATCACACTGCTGGCTCATGTTCAGCTTCCTGTCTCTCCACACTCCCAGGTCCCTTTCTGCCTGGTGCTCTCCAGCCACTCTGTCCCCACCTTGTGATGAAGATGGTTCTAGTCTGAAAAACTTGGCTTTTAGGGGAAAAAAAAATATCACAGTTTTAGTGTAAACTGTCCATGAAATATATTTGGTTTAGTGGCTTATTTAAACAACAGAAACTGAGCCAGATCAGTTATAGAGTCACAGAATGGGTTGGGTTGGGAGGGACCTTGAAGCTCATCCAGTGCCACTAGATGTTTAGAGTAAGTTTCATAGTATGTTAAGGGGTCGGAATGGACTTTAGAGTTCATCTAATCCCACCCCCTGCCCTGGGCAGGGACATGTCCCACCAGACCAGGTTGCTCCAAAAAAGATCTTGGTGGAACAAGAACAGCAACAGGTCATGCTGCTCAGCAGGTCTCCCTC